TGTCAATGAGAAGCCAAAATTGCCTGTTTTTTTGTGTTGGTGGCTGTTGTGGACAGTTGACTTAAAGCAGACGTTTCTGTATGGAACTGCTCTGAGACTGTTTTTGCACCTGCAGCTGATCACCCATCACCTCTTGGTCCAGCGGCGAGTATCCTACCACTAGGCCACCACCACCATCTTTAGGTAAAGCAACAGAGCAATAGACAATATTCTATTAATTACTAATTAACTCATGGTTAATGTGGCATTAGTTCATTTATTAATATATGCTTATTTGTTGACCAGTATAAAGTGTTACCAATGTTTCTTGAATGAAAAAATCTTTCAAATATTTTACATTTATTCTCTCAGATCATGCTTTATCGAAACTGTCTTTTAATTGGAATAATTTAAACCTAGCATCATATGAAAGGGTGGACCAGTGGTTCATGCTGTTTTCTCATACCTTTGGGACCTGGGTTCGAGTTTCTGCCATGGCTCCATGTATGTTTGCATGTTGTCATGGAGTTTCCTTCCTAAAATATGGTGTGGTTAACTGGAGTTACCTGCTTACCCATAGGTCTGAATGGTGTGTGAGTGTGCCCTGCGATGGGTTGGCACCCCATCCTGGGTTTTTCCCTGCCCTGTAGCTTCCGGAATAGACTTCAGACCGCCTGTGACCCTGAATGGGACAAGGGGTTACAGAAAATGGCTGAATACCTTGATAATATGGAGTCCCCCTAGAACAGGGTTATTCAACTCACGGTCCTCGAGGTCCGAGCACTGCTGGTTTTCCAGCCTTCCTTTACCTGTCAGTCAGGCGTGAAGCCTCTGGCCAATCAGAATCAGTAATTATTAAACAACTACCTGGGAGAACTGAAAACACGGCCTGGATTTGGAATCGAGGTCCAGAGTTGAAGAACCCTGCCCTAGGACATTAACCGGCTTGTGTCCCAACTGATTTGAAATATTACAGCTTTTTGCACCATTACCGCTGCTCATACTCTAATCGATACAGTTGTTTCTATTACCATCAAACATCAACCCCAAACCAAAAATGGACATTTCATGTTACCTCTGCAGGGCTCACAGTGACCTTCACCACTGGCACCATTACTTTCTTATATCATCTTATCTCCATCTCAATTAATTAATCAGTAATCACACACCAGGGGGCGGAGGACAGTGATCAGATCATTATCTTATAAGCTTACGTGGTTAAATACATTGGTCTTAAAAATATACTGGAGCCTGCATGCAAGTTCAGAAGGGTGGCACGGCGGGTGGTTCACGTCTCTGCGCCCTGGGTTTGAGTCTCTGCCTTGGCTCCATCATATATTCTCTGTGTGTTGTTGTGGGGTTTCCACCGGGTACTTTTGTTTCCTCCCATAATGCGAAAACACGCTGAAGTTAACTGGCATTACCAAATTGCCCATAGGTGTGTGAGTGTGCCCTCTGAGGGGCGGTGCCCCATCCTGGGTTGTTCCCTGTCTTCCACCTGTAGGCTCCGGACCATGAATAGGGCAAGCGGCTACAGAAAATGGATCGATGATCTACAAGCAGTAGTGTTACATGCATAAGTAATTTGTTTCTAAATAGAATTATTTAATATTTAAAAGTCTTTTTTGGCTGGCGACTGTTCATGATTCCTCTAATTTTAAAAGCTTTGCATAACGCGGGTGAGCCCCGATTCGATCATAACAGCGACGCCTAATGACCTGTCAGCAGATCCATCAGACACGCCGGCCAGAAGGTTTCAATAGTAACGCTGAGCCCTCATCTCTGGGCCTTCATGCAAACAGTGCCGACAGTCGAATGACGGGATCCTGCCAAAGCACTGTTTACCCAGCGGGTCCGACTGTCAGTCACAGTAACGGGGGAGGGGGGGGGGGCTCTCCACTCTGCCAATGAACGCAGGACCAAGACCAAAGCGGCAGATCAGTTTTTATTTCCTCATTATTTCACTAATGGTGGAAATGCATGTTTTCCTGAATTTTAGAGGATGAAGACCACGGCAGTATCTCACTCGAGTGAATTCCTGCTTGTGCAAGCTATGCTTAAATGTAACGCTAGATACAATGCTCACAGGAAGTATTGGGATGCTTGCTTAATTCAGTAAAAATATTGCACATTTATTAGTTTTACAATAAAAATCATTACTTTATTCATACATATATATATATATGTATATATATATATATATATATATATATAGTAAATATATATGACATTAGAAACAACCAACAGTTTTAAGTAAAACATTAATTTCAATTACTAATAAATTGAAATCCAAATAATAGTTCTAAAATACTCTTCTGAGTTAAAACAACATTGTTCATTGATAGTCTCGTTGGCTGCTTTTTAATTAGTAACACCTTTACAATAACATAAAACACCAAAGATTTCCATACGGTGTCCCTTTGGCAGCCAGTGACTGCAGCTGCAGTTAATAAGAAAATGGCAGGAACAGAACTGAATGAGTCAGTCGAAAAAAAGAAATATGACACTAAATTAAAGGAACATGTCTGTGCAGAAGATATGTGCAGATATCTTAAACATTGCTTGTCAATGGACGTTTGTTATGAAACCAATTAATTTTGAATATTTTTATAGAATTAAACAAGTGCCCCAAGACTTTCTGTGAGTAGCGTAAGCCTAGTTACAGTAGGCTGCACTGCGAGACACTTCTAAGGCTACCCAAGCCCTTAAACACTTCACTGGGCTAATTACTGTGCTAACTGAATTGACATAATTTAGGCTATTAAATCTGCAGTGAAGCTGTTACCAGCTTTAAGGCATGTTGGAAATCCTGGGCATGCCACTGCCCCAAAGGATCGTGGGTAAAGACCACAGATCGATAGTAAAGTGGAATCAAGTCTGTAATGGGCTTAAATTAAAACTAAAATCTGTGGATTTTTTGCCGTTTCAAAGAAAGAAGTGAAATCTATATTTGCTGCAGTTGGCTGTCAGTAAAATAACCGCTTTAATGTGCTTCTGTTTATGGTAAAAGAACAGGAAAAAAGAATTTAAATCCAGGCTGACTTAAATGATTTGTGGTTACTTTGTTAGCTAAAGAATCTGTTTAAGATGTTTTGACTAGCAGTTGGACATTGTATATGATCATAAACACAGCTCCCAAAACAGTAACGCAAAAAATCCGACAACATTCAACTGAAAGCAAGTCTCTATAGTCTATACCATTTTAATATGAAAAGTAATCAGAAATTCTCCTCTGAGGCCCACATGTACGCATATGCATTTGTCCATCTTCCAAATTCTTATCCCTAGCAGTGGGACCTGGACCCTCTCCCAGGATGCTTAGGGCACTAGGCAGGGGACAAACAACATGGGAATCAAAATAAATTCCTTTAACTGCATTATGAGTCAGTCTGCCAATGCAGTCTACTTTAGGAAGTTAGTAAACAATATTTGTGTTTATTCAGCAAACCTGGGAAATTACGTAGCTTTACATTCCTGCAGCTTTTTTTTTTTTTGTCAGTTCCTCCAAAAGTTGAGCTACAATGAGACTGGCGAATGGAGATAGGAGCACATGGGGTTTTTCCCTGTAAAGCATCATCATTGTGTAAATTAATAACCCCCCTATTTTTGCTAGTGTTCAGCATACTGTCCATTGAACACCTTTTACTCTGGGATTCTGACAGCCTTTTCTGGTATTAAGATGACCTGCCTTGTTTTTTATCCCCCATATAGGCAACCATCTATGTGCCGTGGAGGATTCATAGTGTCCAAGCTTGCGGGACCATTTTCAGGGCTGGAGCTACAACTGTGGTTCTTACTATGTTACTGACCCTGTTTATTTGTACATTACCACAGTATCCACTAAGCATTATATGCAGTTTAAAAAAACCATGATAAATACTGCTGCCAAATTCACCGTTACTATAATTACAAAATAACTAGTCTACGGATTTGCAGAATAAGAAGAACATTACAGCAAATCATGTGCCAGTATTTCAAATTTCATTCAACTGTAGTTTAATATTAGGAATGATAATAATATGGTTGGCGCCCCATCCTGGGTTGTTTCCTGCCTTATGCCCATGGCCCCTAGGATGGGCTCCAGACCCCTGACACCATGAATAGGACAAGTGAGTAAAAGAAAATGGATGGATGGATGGATGGATGGAGCAATAATATGTTTTTTATGTAAATAAATTGTGTCTTCAAATTGTGTCCAGTAACATACAAGCTACATTCATGGATATTGATATCTAGCTGTCTGACTTTAATTTAAGCATTTATACTTGTCAACTGGCAACTTGTAATGGAAATGCAGGGACTGAGAGTTAAGCAGGGTAGCACATAAGTACTGATATGTTTCTGCGACATAACGCTGTTGCTTAATTTGAGTAAGACTTTGGGATAAAGGACAGGCTGTTGTTCATCCTCTTCTTCTCCATCTCAGTGAAGTGCTTAATCCCATTACAATGGCCTGTTTGTGCTTTCAGCTTCATCCCCTTAGGTGACCGCGGTTAAAGGGAAAAAAGGTCACAAGAGGATTACAGTCGAGGCGCGATGACTCTTCAGCTGTCCGACAATAATCTTTTCCACGGATATAAGCGGGGTTTAAAGTCATTAAGCGTTTCCCGGTGGGTCCTTTTGAAAAGTACTTCCTCATTTACTCTGGCTGTCCGAAGGTTTATCTGCAATCTGCCTCCTTGGGTTTTGTCGGATTCTTCTGGTCTGTAGCCTCTGCTTGTGAATATTGTCTGATCTGGTGAAGTCGCTGCAATCCTCTTTCAGCCATCCCAAATGAGACTAACTCCTAAAACACACATAATGAGATGATGTCTGTAGATAATGGGCATTTCTCATGCAGATGAAGATTACGAGCATTATTCTACCACTATAGCTGGTAATAGTTTATCTAATAACATTAATATTTTACAAGTTTTATGTATATTGACTTAGCATAAGATCAGGCAGTAAAATTGTATCTTTGCACAACACACAACCTGTTAGCATTTTTTTATATACTATAATAAGGAGAGACACAAACGTTGAGAACATATTTGGGTTTTAATGCATAGTCACTCAGAGTAAATTATTCTACAATGAGTTGTTATTTTGTCAGAATACTCGAATACCCCAGCCCCCACTGACCTATCAGAAGCATTACTCTTCCTGGAATAGTTATAACCTTTGGGAATACTTTCCTGGCCAGCATTAATCCAATGCAACCCGTTTGCTTTCTTGTTAAATATTTATTCCATTTGCATACTAATTGGAATCCCCAAGTAATTTCCTGTCAAAGCCGGGCTGAGGCCAGAACGCCTCACAGACCCCATCTTGCTTGTGAATAACCAGGAAATGTGCGAATGATATTAACTGCAAGCTCAGGTCCTGTGGGGGGGCTTAGGGTCCACCAACGAGGTCAGTTAGGCCTATTTTTAGACTTTAAAAAATATGTTCTTCATATTTGAAAAGCACTGCTAGATGCTGGAGGGGGACAACAAGGCACCTGCACCCACCTCATCCATTCAGACCTTAAATGGTATTAAGCCATAATTTCTATAATGCCAATATAGAAAAGCTACTAGGATGAAGTGCTTGTGCAGCGGCAAGAAGCAGCTACCACTGATCTTATTTTAAGGAAGAGCAAAGTGTCTGTCAAGCAGCTTAATCCGTGGGTGAAGGGATCTTAGCAGGTCTGCCCTCTGCCTTGTTAAGTCCTCGCACAGGAGTAAGGCTAGATGGAAAAATGCAGATTAAGAGCTCAGCCTTTAAAACCACATTACAATAAACATAATTAATGCATGATTACAGCAGAGTCACGCACTATAATATGGTTCAGTTTTCAGTGCATGCCCATATAAGCATTATGATAAACACTTGGAATAAATAGATTTTTTTTTGTTGTTGTTGTTGTTGTTTTTGGAATATGTCTCAGAGTTGAAGGTGGTAGCCAGAACCTAATTAATTGCAGAAAACTGCATTCTTAAACAATTTTAAAATTATTTTAAAATCTTGGGATGATGTATCAGTGATCTGCCCATTGTATTTCTCTCAGTATTCTTCTAAAATGCAAGGTGAGCCAAACGTAAGTATACAGTTTATATTTAAAGTAAGTAAAGGTTCTATTTTGCAAAAGTAGGTATGCAGTTTTTATCTTACATTACTCACTGGGTCAGGTTTAGACTCTTAGGCATTAGAAATGTCCTCCGTCAGCGTTGATACATTACTGCAGCCTGTCCTTGGCACTGTGACACACTTTAGCACACGAAAGTTAGCATCAGTGCCGACAAATGCACGCGAGATGAACTACTTCAATTTCTTCACTATGTGGGGCTTCCTCTCAAAAACCTTCTCCTTTACTACACCCATAAAATAAAGTCCATGGATGTCAGGACAGGGAGCTGGTCAATGCTGCCACGTTGCCCGATCCAACACTCTACACCAGAGGTACCCAATACGTCGATCGCGATCTACTAGTCGATCGCAAAGGTAGTCTGGGTAGATCGTATGGCATAAAAAAAATAGAGGATGGATGACGCGTTCAACCGCGCCAGCGGCTGCAAAACTCTAGCAAGCTACCGAGTTGCCTAGTTAGCGTCCAGTTTATTTCTACTAAACTTAAGAAAGGGTATAAAAATGAATGGGGGAGCTGGACCAAGTAAGAAGCCAAAAACCTACCACTTCCCTACAGAATGGGAGGAGGACTGGTTTTATTCCCCATATCATATTCGAAATGCGTTTGCCTCATCTGTCAGTCTACCGTTGCTAATCCGAAGAAAGGAAATGTGGAGCGGCATTTTCGGACTGTTCACAAAAACTACGACATTAACTTCCCAACGAAAAGCGAGCTGAAAAAGAGAAAGGTGAAGGAAATAAAATCCCAAAAATGTACAGAGTTGTATTGTGCAGTTATGCAAGGTACACCAGCATATATTGTAGATTAAATTCAAATTCAAACAAAAAATACTTTATTTATCCCAAAGGGAAAATAATAATAATAAAGAATACTCAATATATTTATAAATAATATATGTTTTGCATTTTTATAGTAGGTAGATCATTTTGATTTGGTCATTTATAAGTAGCTCGCAAGGTGAAAAAGTGTGGAGACCCCTGCTCTATACCTACTAAAAATAACTCTAAAATAAAAGCTTTACTTTGTAAAACAGAATCGTTACTTCATAAAACAGAGACTGCATACCTACTTTTGGCTCACCCTGTATATTCCTTACATTACATAAGCACATTTTAAAAGGTATGTCCATATTTTAAAAACTTGTGAATTGGCCACTTCTCATCATTTTCTTCATCTGTACTTTTGGACTTCATTGTCCCTTAATTGTCCGTAAAGCAGTCTATACCTGCCAGACTGCAACATTCACCTCTCCGTCACATTGCTTCTGGCCAATTGCCTCATTTAAATGAACAGTGGCAGTGATTGGATAGTATTCTGGAGCTGCATGTCGTGTCAGAGGGTACTACTTATTCAGCAATCAAGTGAAACGCCCTGTTTGATATATAGCCCTTCCCACAAGGCAGCACAATGTGCAATATGCTAACCCTTGCTCATAATCAGCCTGCGCTGCTGTTTCAGAAAAGCCCTTTTATTCACTGAGGCAGTGAGGGCAACGTGCTGTCAATCAGGACAGGATCTGGAGGGCCAGGAGGACAATGAAGCGGGATTCAGCACCAGGGACAGTAATCGCACACAGATTAATGGGAGGATGAGGAGTAGCCTTCCCAGGGCAGCCTACCTAAGGTAGGCGGGGCTAAATGGAGCCCAAACCCAGCCATCCTATACATAAACTGACGCCAGTACAATCATGTCTGGACTAAAACGACAGTTCCTAAGAATATCCAAAGCAGAATGTACTTCTGACAGCAGGGACACAATCCACATATCACCACGACAACTGGTGGGCGCTAGAATATAGACAGAACTAAATACATCACGGAGCTCCTAAACGTTTTATGACATCCATAAACGGCCACTTATCCTGTGTGCCTCGCTAACAGCAATGGCTATCATTCACTGAGGAATCCATGTAAAGAGACTTAAACACTGTGCAAAGCTGAATACACCATTTTGACATTGTATATATATTCACTTAGACTATGAAACAAAGAGACCAGGAAAGATGCGTCTCAACATCAACTGCACTAACATTTGAATCTTTTCATTTATTTGTTACATGATTAACCATTTATGCTTAACATTGACGGTGTCTTCCAGAACATCTTGTACACAAACCGTTTTTTTTTTTCATTATAATATCTTCGTTTAATAGATGCTTTAAAAAGAATTAGCATACTCTAATACCAAGGAGCTGTTTCACCTTCACACTCTACACTTAGTACAATGATCAGAGCTGTCATAACATTTTTGGAGATGTTAGAAGGTTAATTTCTTATTTTAAAGATGAGTAAAAGGAGTGGATTTTCATAAAAGGAGATGAGAATTATCCAGTAAAGGGCTCTCTTTTGTCCTATAATAAAGTCATTCCAGTGTATTGTATCCTAAATCCAGTAACTCATGGGAAATCTTAGCTTTTCAGTAACCATGACATGACTGACAACATCCATCGTGCACTGAATTCCTATTCGCTGCACGATTGGCATCATAAAGCAGACGGTTCATAGGATGGACAAGTGCCACGATGCAGGGGTGCATGTAGCTATGCAGCGTTTCCTTTTAGATCGCCTGTCTGCTTGCTTGCACGGCCTCTTCGCAAGGCCTCAAGGAACCGTCAGGGCAAAGATCTTTGAGGTTTTCCTCTGTGCTTCCTGAAGAAAAAAAAAACTGTCTTTGAAATCCAGGTTTCCCTGTCAATATATTCTTGCTTGTGGCTCTCTTGTTATCATGGGGAATAAAATGGGGTCAGATGAACAAAAGGTCAATTAAAATGAGTGAGTTGGGAGCAGTCATAACCTGCACTGATGGGAAAGCCTTTTTAACCACGGAATTTTTAATAGCAATATGCTGATTTATGTTAATGTGAATGTTGCCATTTGACCTCCTAACAACTGAATGTCATGAGTGTCATTTATAAGAAAGTGTCTAACATGTTTATACTAAAATTACAAAGGAAGACTGAATAGAAAAAACTCAGCTGAGAGCCTTGGGAGACTTTAAAGGAGCGACTGAAAGTTTGCTGAAATAAGCATGCTGTAAGTCAGGTTCTGCACATCAAAGTGCAAAAATTATACCGGCTATTCTGTGCACTCAAAGTATTAATCGAGGATGACCAAATTAGATTTAATAACTGTGTTTGTTTTTATACTGAAGTTCTTATTGAATTCTGGCAAGACGAAATTTCAAAATCCTAGACAATATCCAGAAATAAGCAACTGTGGCAAAAGTCAGCAGTATGACATTGAAGATAAGCCACAGAGAACAGAGAAATTACTAGAAATTAACAAAAAGATGAGATTATGGGTACTGACAACTAAAACTGCTATACAGGCAGGGCTTAAGCAAACGAAAACCCAGGAAGGATCTTAGAAAACCATAAACAGACGGAATTCCAGTAAAATAAACGAAGGCATAAAGGAATATAGTGTTATATGTAAGGTGTTCAGCTTGTAAGATGTTCAGTCCTTGACAGAAAACTCCCACACTCACAAATCTGGCCCTACTTATTAGCCCTATCAGGATAATGAATCAAATTACCAGCTAGGCTACAATGATGGTCACGTGCCATAAACCACCTTCAAGTTCTATTTTAGTAGAGGGTCACAATTAGCCTCAAGCCTCCAGCAGGAAGCACATGGCCTGAAGCGGGGAACACGCTGGGTGGGCGGCTGCCCCGTCACATGGCACAAACTCGTGCACAACATCAGCAGCTTAGAGACGGCAATTTACCATTTTTGGATAACACTTTACATAATGCGGTCATCATAATGCATTATAGATACCTTCATAATGAAAAATCATTCATTGATACAGTATTATAAATATGGCTATAACTATTTATAAAAAGGGATAACACATTATAGGCATGTTTATGCATTCTGAATGCTCTATGAAGCTCTCATCTATACCTTTATAATGCATTATTATGGTCAGTAGAAGCCATTATAATGCATTATGAAGGTATTTTTAATGCATTATAGATGAGAGCGTTCATAATGCACAATAAATATTGCTATAATGTGTTATGCCGTTCTTATAAATAGTTATAGCTTATGTGTGTAATGTTCTATCAATGCATTATAATGCATTATGAAGGTATCTATAATGCAAAATACATTGGTGCTTTAAGTAAAGTGTTACTCATTTTTGGACTACAGTAGCAAGTTAGCATAATCCCCAGCAAACATGGGGAGAACATGAAAATTTCACATTAGAGGGAGACAAGGCCAGGAATCAGAGACACCCCAGGGGTATATGGCTGCAGTGCTATCACAGAGACACAGAGCCCACCCTCATGCTAGCAACAGTGTACATATAATCCCCAGCAAACTCGCTCCACTCCCACACAGCCCCCAGCCAAGCTGCTGCCGCTATTGCAATGGAACATAAACAGTCGGCCGCATGTCTGGCTAGAGAACAGAATGTCGCGCTGTTTGAAAAAATGTAGAAACGGCAACAAGCTCTGTGCTGTAAGTTGTCTAGGATAAGAGTGTCTGCCAAGCGATGGAATAATGTAACCTAAGCATAAAAAAGGCTTTTCCCGTAGGGGGTTTCATCGAGTTTAAATGGGCACAATTTTAATTACATTTAAGAGGAAACATGACCCCGCATGCCTCATGAATTCTCATTATTGTATTGAGCCCTTCCTAGTATGACGATTACACTAATTACACTAATATGTGCTACCGAGAAAAAAATCTTGGATAGTTAATATGAGTATACTTGGGCATGTAGCTGGAAAGTAGTGGACAGGCTCACAGCATTAGGGTTTTAGGCGTAGCTTGGCAGAGAACAGGAGTCACGCTGACATTATTTTTTGTGTCACGAATGAGAGATACATTTGGCCTGATTGGTATGTTGCATTTCCCAGGCTTTCATTTGTCTATTGTCCATTATTTTCATAATTTCTTGTGTCTGAATAATGAAGCGTTATAGTAATTGATAACAGGGCTACAGAGATTAACTGTTTCCTATGACAAATGTGCACGGAATTAATAGCTGCATGGAGAAATTTAAAATTAATCAAACCCTTTTTTTATTATGTGCAGGATAGGTTGATAAAACTTGCAGGAGGCCCATTCAAGGACGAAGAAAATTGTAACTGCTTCAAATCCCACTTGGGACAAAGAGGTTGGAGATAAGAGGGATGAGGATAGATCTTCAAGGCGTGATTGGGTGTGAAAGTGAAGGGTAAGCACATGGTGTCATTTTGGAAGTGATTTTCTAAAGTGTTCCAATGTCAAAAAGAAAAAAAATTTAAATTGGAAACAGCTTCCCACTATTGTCAGACTCCTGCCATGAGTTACAGCTTTAAAATAAAGAAAAAAGT